AAATGTCATGTAGTATGGGAATGATCCCTTATGTAATCTGAAGTATCTCAATTTTTACCAGAATGTAACATTAAACATTGTTTAAGTAGAGATTTATTTTATCTGTTTAATTAGTTTATAGTAAAAATAAATCAAGATTTTGATGGCAGGGAAGTCAACTAAGTTAAGCTTTATGGACTGCAGCTTTATTACTGTAATTAAAAGTAAAAATGTTGCTATTTGGTTTGCCTTCTTTATTCACCCTCCCAAAATGTTGCAGTTGGTTAGCTGAAGTGGCGATTTTGGAGAGGTGTTCTCTACTGCTAAAACCCTGAAGAAGTCCTCATCTAATCATCAGAAGGACCTTTCAATTTAAGGAAATTTCAATTAATATTTTTAGCTTAAATGAGCCGGCAACCCTTCCTTCAAGAAAGTTTGAATGAACTACCTAGAAAATGACATTATGACTTGACCTGTGATCAGTGATCATGATCATACAATAGTGAACTTTTTGTGGCAATGCTCAGAAAAATGATACTTTGAACTGCCTATTGGATGTTGATAAGGTGTATCAGAGTTGTTGATGGTATAAAAGTCTGGAAAACTTGGGACCAATTAGATCATGAAAAAAATGCAGATTTGATTTTACTTTTTTTTTATTTAGTATGATAACCTATGAACGAGGACGTTCCTTCTTCTCCTTGTACAAGGCCAAGAGAGAAACATTGGCAACCTTTACGACCTTGAAACGGACACCTGTTAACAGAATAGGACATTTTAGATCGCCAGCGATGGACAGCAAACTATGTGGTAAGGGGCAAAGTTTCAGACAGACCAACAATCTAGACATGAAGTACTAACCGGGAATATCACCGACGGCGTGACCTTTTCTACCGAACCCTGCCACCAAAACTTCATCGTTTTCTTCAATGTAGTTCAAACAACCGTCATTGGGGACGAATGCGGTGATTTTCTTGCCGTTCTTAATAAGTTGAACCCTGACGCACTTTCTGATGGCTGAGTTAGGCTGCTTGGCTTCAACACCACTGCAACAACAAAAACAAAAATTAAAAATCCAAACATCTCACTCTCTAAAGATTATGAAAACTGCCAATAAAAAAGTTATTTCATTGGTTAGATCGGGCAATGCAAATCAGATAGGAGCGAAAGACATAAATAGTAAGACATCACAGATGTCAGTTGAACTATGAAATCATCACTTAGCATTGTCCAGATGAAAAACCATAACAAATTGCATGCTGAATGACAATATGCTTCAGATAGGAGCGAAAGACATAAATAGTAAGACATCACATATGTCAGTTGAACTATGAAATCATCACTAAAGTCATACGCATGAATCAAAGGGATAAGTATTACTATGCATATCAGATAGGAGCGAAAGACATAAATAGTAAGACATCACAGATGTCAGTTGAACTATGAAATCATCATATTGCACATACTAGGGATGACATGGGAATCTTTGACACAATTCCAAAAGCTGCTACGGAGCTGTGCTTCAGATAGGAGCGAAAGACATAAATAGTAAGACATCATGGATGTCAGTTGAACTATGAAATCATCATACACAGGTGTAGAAGCAGCTCAATATAAACCATCAGGGCTCATGCACAAGACCGCTGAGCAGCCTTAACATAAACGAATCAGACTAAAACTAGCACTACATGCATCAGATAGGAGCGAAAGACATAAATAGTAAGACATCAAAGCTGTCAGTTGAACTATGAAATCATCACGGCTGCATGGAGTGCTAGATGGAAATTTATCAGCAAAACAAAATACACAGAAAGACTGAAGAAACTTGAACTACACTGACAACAACACCATACGAATACTTACACTTTTTCCAGGACGATTCCCTTGGCGTGGGAAGCACCTCCGAAGGGGTTGGCCTTCCATCTGGTTCCAAGGTTGGCCTTCTTGAAGTCGTTGTCGGCCCACCTCTGCTCACGCCTGTGGTTGACGTGCTTACGCGCAGTACGAATACCACGAGGCTTACCTGCAAAAATGAACAGGATAAAAAACGATTAAACGTCATTCGGTGCAACGCAAGGAAAGAGAAGGCCCTATTTCACTGAGTGCGACAAATCGTGAGTGTGTTAACATTGTTAAGATTCTGCTCGACAGGTGAAGATCATTATTGACCGGCAGGATGGAACGCCTGACGCCGGTGGGGATCCAACCTCTAACGGCCCTAACCTCAACAAAAATTTAGAGCCCTGAGACGACTACATTGAAAACAAGAAAGGATGGAAGTTCATAGAAACACGGTCACAATAAACGTGACATTAAATTATTAAAATTGATAAATATTACGGTAAAAATGTAAATAAAACAAGCGCAAAATTTAAACTGTTTACCACATGAGA